CCTTCGCAGTAGCATGCGATATATATTGAAACATTACATCTCTATGCTTTGGGTAATGTTTGGGGGAAAAAAGGCCGAGCTGGTTGCGCAAGTTTGAGTTTGCCCAATTTATCTCGTATTTTAACATTTGATTGGTCATTTTATTGATTACAAAGACATGCTAACTTTGAACTAGACTTAGAAAAATCACTTTAACTAATTAGAAAAGCATCCTTTAACCGAGTCCCACTCAAAATCTTCTTTTTGTTAATTTTTAGATGATAAATTCTTTATTAAAACTTGTAAAAGTTGTGTCCCCTCTACCCTATGGACAGCCCCCCTCCCTAAAATCACCTCCTGGCGGGCAGAGTAAACAAGTGGCGCTCTGTATATCCTCCATGTAATCAGAATTTTGCTCGGTGAGATCACGGCTGTGCAGCGAGCCCCCGTGGATGCTCAGCTGCGTTGTGGGAGGTTCCATCTCAATGCCACCTTTGTCTGTTGTATCTGTGTATATATATGTGTGTGTGTGTGTGTGTGTGTGTGTGTGTGTGTGTGTGTGTGTGTGTGTGTGTGTGCGTGTGTGTGTGTGTGTGTGTCAAGTTGACACTGCACAAAAAAGCCATGAGGAAACATGTACATGATGAGGAATGTTCCTGGTATATATTTACACTCAGGATTTAAAAGCATTTCAAGTTACAGTACTGAGACCTGTTGTTTTCTGATGAGGCAGTGTTTAGCTGGACACTGCATTATGTCAGAATCACTCTGTCATGTTACATTTCGATCAGTGTGAGCCTCTGTTGCTGCTGGTTGGGTTAGACTTGGTCATGTTTTGCTCTCTGCACACTTTTGGATCGTGAATTACACAATCTTGAGAGTTTTTATGGACAGTATTATTGTTTTTAGATGCTTTAATTATAATGATAATTAATATTCATAATAATTATAATAATGATAAAGTTGCACTAAGCAAGCATATTTGTCCACTCCCGTTTTATGTAACATTTACAACGGATAAAAAATGTGCGATTAATCACGAGTTAATTACATATGATGAAGCGATTAATCGCGATTAATCACAACTTATGTACACGTATTGATTTTCAAATTCTCCCTCATTTAGATCAGTGTGAGCCTCTGTTGTTGTTGGTTGGGTGTGACTTGGTCATGTTTTGCGCTCTGCTCACTTTTGGATCGTGAATTACACAATCTTGAGGATTTTTATGGACAGTGTTATTGTTTTTAGGTGCTGTAATTATAATATGATTGATATTCATGATAATAATAATGATAGAATTGCACAAACCAAGCATATTTGTCCACTCCCATCCCATTAATGTGTTAAAAACAGATCAAATAACCTTATATGTAACATTTACAATGGAGAAAAAATGTGCGATTAATCACGAGTTAATTACATATGATTGAGGGATTAATCGAGATTAATCACAATTTATGTACACATATTTATTTTCAAATTCTCCCTCACTTAGATCAGTGTGAGCCTCTGTTGTTGCTGGTTGGTCTGACTTGGTCATGTTTGCTCTCTGCACAATTTTGGATCATGCATTTCACAGTCTTGAGAATTTTTCTAAACAGTGTTATTGTTTTTAGGTGCTGTAATGTTAATAATCGTAATTGATATTCATAATAATAATGATAGAAATGCACAAAGCAAGTAAATGTGTCCACTCTCATTTGAATTAAGTGTTAAAAACAGATTAAATAACTTTTTATGTAACGTTTACAATGGATAAAAAATGTGCGATTAATCACGAGTTAATTACAGATGATTATGCGATTAATTGCGATTAATCACAACTTATGTACACATATTTATTTTCAAATTCTCACGTCCAAGTTGCTCTTTTAAACCTCTCATAGTGAACTAAATAGGTATAAAGCTGAAATGCTTGATTTGTACTGGTCTTTTTACCCACTGCCAAAAACGTCTCCTATACATGTACAAGGAGCGAAGCTTCGTAAATCATGCTATTTAGTACGCGGTCTAAATTCAAAAGCAGTACAAACTAAGTCGACTGGTCAGTTTGAGTAATGCTTCGTCTCCGGGTGGCAGCAGCTGGAAAGGAATGACTTTAAACTGTTCTCCTTTAACAGCACCACCGTCACAGGGTAGTGATCTAAGAAGCTGCTTTAAATGGGCCTGTGTGTAAACCGAGGGTCTCTTTTCCTGCCTTTTTGCACATGCTTGTATGTCTCTGCATGGATGCACTTCATTTTGTGTGTGCGTGTGTGTGTGTGTGTGTTTGTGTGTGTGTGTGTGTCCTTTCTCTTCTTCCGTTGCATCTATTAGAAAAATAAAACAACCTTCTCAACACTTCACTTGTAAATATTCTGGTGAGGTCGGCCTCTTTTTGTTAAAGTGACAGGTGGTTAACCAGCATGTTGTTTAAGGGGATCCGGTTTGTTGTAGGACAGTTAGGTAGATCTGTCTAGGTTATGGATTATAATTAAAAAGAAAACAGATAGAAAAAAATCCAAGATATTTAGGTGTTAACCTCAGGTCTGCATAAGTGAAAAAGAAAAGCAAGAGGCAAGGATGTGTTGTAGCATCCTCTGTGGGTCACTAGTGTCATTAGAGTCGGTCTTAAAATCTTTTCTTTTTTACCACTTTTTCCCTATTTCTTCCTTTTTCTCATTTAAGATGATGGTAAAAAAAAAAAGTACACCATATTTTCAGTAACAGTCAGTGTGTGTGTCTTTTCACTCTTCTACCTTTTTCACTCCAAATCCCCACCCTCTCCACACTGTCTTCATCATTAGAAATGTACTCCTCCTAAAACTCAAGCGGTTAGTGGTGCCATTGCAACTTTTGCTACAGCTTCTTCACAATCTGTAACACTCTCCTTGATGAGGCTGTGATAATGCTTCGTTTTGTGCACATTTGCAGCCTGCTCTATATCTAGCTCTTTCCCCCTTTAAACATCCGAGATTTCCAGTGTGTATTCTCCTTTTATTGCTTTCATTTGCATATAAATTAAATCCATATTGTGCCTGCAAGGCATACTATGCTAACTATGCAAACGATCCTTGGCTTTTCTTTGTTTTACAGATAAACCCTCGGCTTCCTAACTGACAAGGTGGGAGGGGGTGAGAGAAATCCTCTTGCTGTTTCATAATTGTATGAATTTTAAATACATTGTCATAGAATACTCTTCCACATTCACAGCGGGGAATTAAACTATCATTATAACGTAAGGGCTTTAGGGTTAGCTGACCGTGAACAAGCAGGCAGCCTTTTTTACTTCTGATTACACATGCAGGCCAGATGGCAAAGAGGCTGGATTTGGGAGCACGTTGGGCCAGTGTGTGTTTTCCAAAAGGGACAATTTATTCTCAAGCACTCTGTGTCAAGTATCTGGATTTTAAAATGAAGTGTGTAAGAGTGTTTTGGCAGAAATAAAAAGAGAGATGTTGTGCATTCATATAATTTCAGAAAATAGTGTTTCTATTTGCCAGATTTAACCCTTTCAATGAGCTGCTGGAGGTCATCTCTAATGCTGGAGATAGTGGTCTGACCACCTGCACTGAAGTTGTCTCTTATGCTAGAAATCCCCTTATAATTTTTTTAAAAATGTATTGGTAACACTTTACTTGACGCCTATCTCTATAACACATTATAAATATATTTATAGTGCATTATAATCACGTTATAGCACAGTATAACTATAGTTATAAACACTCATAAATGATTATAATGCTTTATAACAATGATCATAGCATATTATGATACCTGACCTTGTGAGTCATGATAAAATGCTTTATAATGTGTTATGATTATTGCTATATAACTGCTTTATAACTATAGTTATACAGTGCTATAACGTGATATAAATATATTTGTAATGTGTTATAGAGATAGGTGATAAACACTCATAAATGATCATAATGCTTTATAGCAATAATCATAACACATTATAAAGCATTTTATCACGACTCTCAAGTTCAGGTATTATAATGTGCTTATTGTTATAAAGCATGATCAAGTGTTGATAACTATAGTTATACAGTGCTATAACGTGATTATAACGCAATATGTGTTATAGAGATAGGCGTCAAGTAAAGTGTTACCAATTTATTAAACAAAAAAGTGTGTAAAAACATTTCCCCCTCTCTTTATGTAACTATTTAACGCGTTTCTCCTCAACTATTCAATCTTGCATTAATTACGAGGCGCTTTATTCCCTTATGATACTCAAATAAACAAGCTTGGTATATCTAAATGGAGTGTCAATAAAATATGAGAGCAGCAGAAAAACCTGCCTATGAGCAAACGGCGAGTCTCTATACGTCCTGATTGAAATCACTCCTCATCACGCTTTGCTGTGCGTTTATTAAATATCAGCTCCACGCGCAAACGCAACAGCAGCGTTTCCAGACGCACTTAAAAAATAATTAAAACGCCTGGAAAAGCGGAGGCCTTGAACCCGCTCCCCGGTTGCAGTCCTCTGCAGGCTTGTTATCTCTTAATTAAATACTCCAAGCCGTGATCACTTGTACAGTATAGAGCCTCTGCGGCGTAACAAACAAGTTCAGTAAACCGCAGCTGTCTCTGTCGCGCAGGCAGGCTTTGCGCGCAGTCATCAGGTGAGACGATTCCACTGACGTTCACCTCAATTCATCAAACTTTTGTGAAATAAAAAGTGGACCAGACTTTTTAAACAGATCTTTTTGTTGCTATTTAACTTGGTCCCAAAATCAGATGAGGACATTAAAGGCGCAGGACCTCATATTTAGTTGGGTGGGGCACTTACTACTGCAAGAAACAGTGTCAAAATAGCGTGGATCTTTGAGCTGGTTTTTGATACTGATCGTATTTTTAGCAGTAATTCCCCGTTTTTCTTGCAGCAGAAGATTTTCACTATTTCTCCATTTGTTGTCTTCTTCCTCGGATGTCTTATAAAGCCAAAAAAAACTTAATTAAAACTAGTCATGTTGCATTTTGTTTGTAAGGGCCTTTCTCTTCCCGTGATTCAATAAAAACGATAGACGGATAGTTTGAGGAGTGTGTGAGACCTTGTTGAAACAATCAGTATAGTGCAAACAACTCTTGACATAAAAGCCAAATTCATTCAGACACCCTGAACTTTGTCTGACATGAGTTCACAGCCAGGCATCATCAAACCTGAAAAAGGAGGACACACAAGGCCAAACAGGCCGAGTGAAATCCATACCGTTTTTTTGTCCCACTCAGAAATACGATCGTTAATTCCCCCCTTCAATAAGTGAATATTAAAATAAGTGAAATATTGTCCATTAGTTGTCGTAATGGGTGTTTCTGATCAAGTAAAAGTTGATCAATAAATACTAGATCTGCTTTACAATTTTGTAAAATTATATTTAACGGTTATTCCTCGTAAAAAGAATAGAAACGGTAATGAAGTTAAAAGCAAATTAACAGCATTAATTTCACATTTCAGTCCAAACACTTTTAAGAAACTGGGAATTCCTGTTAAATTCTGGGTTATTATGTGGGGGAAAAAGTCATTATACTGTTAAAAAAAAACGTGTAAGTCCACGTTCAACCTCGTAAAATGAAATGTAGTTTCACAGTTTTAAATTAAATTAAATTTCACCCCCTTTAAAAAGATAGAGAATTTTTGCATTTTCAGCTTTTGGCAAATAAAACAAAGCTCTACTCCACCCATCTACCTTGTACTGTCTTTATTTCACACTACAACGTGAACATATGAAAATCTTTGGCTTGTTTGAGTCTGTGGACTGATGTGTGGAGGAGAAATGTGGTGACAAAATATGGGACAAGGGGGGTCACCAAAAAAAACAAAACAAAAAAAAAACCTTATTGAGCCAAATAGACAACGATCCTAAAAAGGGAGATTGGAGACTGAAAGGATGAGCTATGGGTCTGAAATTAAATATACTTATACAACATGATAGCTGTCCGGCTATATAAACTTTAATAACGATCGTTTATTCATATAATTATGTCCATATACTGTTAGCATTAACAGAATTCTGTGTTTTTAAATAGCGTTTCCCCACTCGCAGTTCATTTTTTTCATTATCTCCACGCGTCAAAAGAGTCTGATAAAAGGCCCCACAGACGGGAAAAAGTCCGGGGCCCTTTTACTCGCTGTCCTCCTTGTCCTCCTGCACAGTGGTCGTGGAGTGGTTGTACAGTCCTTGCGCCATGAGCTGCAGGGCGAGCCCATTTTTGTACCCGGTGGCCTTTTTAATCTTGGCTCTCTTATTCTGGAACCAGATTTTAATTTGAGACTCGTTCAGGTTGAGTTCCTGGGCCAGAGACTGTCTCCGCTGCTCCGTTATGTACCGGTTGGCCTGGAACTCGTTTTTCAGTCTCTGCAGCTGCTCGGCCGTGAACGCTGTCCTGGGCCGCTTGTCTTCTTTAGTGCTCTTCTTCTTTTTCAGTTTGCGTGTCCTTGGGCCTAGTGTGGAAACAATAGTGGAAATAAAATGTTAATTTTACTGCTGGACTGCAAACACAGGAGTTATCTTTCTCTGCTTGCTTGATTGATTGATTGCGCGTTTTGGACTGAGAAATACGGAGACGCATGAGGAGATATATGTTTTAAAGCTCTTCTTTCTATAAATTAATGATTTAATGAGCAGTAAATAAATATCATGTACGTGATAGTCTTTATAGACACGCCGTATTGGGTCTAATGGAGACAAGGTAGCCATTACTATTACTAATCATGACGAATATTGGCCTCCTTGGGTCACAAGTTTGCAGTAAAGTTGAGAAAAAGTAAAAACAGGAGCTTCCAAAATATCTAACCTGGTTGCTTTTTCAAAATTTCCCTTATTCCCTGTTTTGGAGTGAATTGGCGCAGAAGAATTACGCACCATTGCGCACCAGCCTTTGTGTCAAATACTTTCAAAGATTTTTAGTCCAGCAGATCCAAGATTTTCTTTATGTCTTATATGCAGATTAAACATCAACACAGCACCGTTTAAAAAGAAAATAAATAACTCCCCTTTGATAAGAGTCTCGTATCCAAACTTTTACGCGCACAAAACAAACGACAAACCAAAACACTTCGCAGCTGATGCACCCAGCAGGTATATATATCGGTGTTGACGCGTGGCTGAGTCTGTGCAATTATCAGGTAGGGCTTATTAATGCTATGATTTGGTCACGGTGCTGAACGTCGTGGCACAAGCTGCCGTGACATTTCGTCGTAAACTGTCAGTAGGCCATCTGTGAGCGCAAGTGTTGATTTGCGAATGACATACTCAGTGCTCTGTGGAGGGAGAGCAAGTGTGAGCGAAAAAAGAGGGTGATGTTCACTCCAGTGTGGGGTAAAGACACGGGAGACGTAAATGCGTGACATAGAAATTTGAGGAAATAAAAAATGAGGGCCTTTGAGTTTAACTTTTTTCATTTTTTACAGCCAGACGAGGTAAATAAAGCGCGTGATCATCTCTATTCGTGCGTAATAAAGAAAAAAAAAATCACAGTTTCAGAAATATTTATATGTCTGGTTACTTATCAATAAAGTATCCTCCAATCAGACTTGACCCTAGTATGTACAATAACACTTTACGCACCATTCCCACTCTTACAACTGTCTCTTGAACGCACCATCAGCACCAATCCCCTGCTAACACCGACACTGAGTACAGATCACGCCTATAATAAAAGTGGAAATAGTTCCTCTTAACAGCTCGGTGTGCTCTGACATCTCCAAAATAAACAGACTAATCACCTCAAACCGGAACACTTTCGGGCCTCTGGATTGGATAATGGAGAAATGAGGCAGCTCTGATAACAAGTGAGGCCTGTGTACATTTATAAGGATAGTCCAAGATGATGCAGACAAGACGATGAAATATTATATTTGGATGAAATTATTCTGAGGCTGAATGTTACACAGATACTTTTTAAAAATGAGAAGTAACACCAGAAAACTTTCATCCATTTTCTCGAGATATTTTGGTAAGAAAATAAACACACACGCGGTACCAAAAAGGTGGGTGTTGTTATTTTTATAGGTTTTTTTTTTTTTTTTGTATACGTTGTTGTGTTTTTTAATATGTGTATTTCTTTAAAGCCTATGCGCTTTATGTGTTTGAGAGGACAGGAAGAAAAAGAGCAAAGTGTTCTTACAAGGAGGCCAAATTAGGAACACACACATGGAGGTGTTGGATTAAATCCATGAAGGAAACCATAAAGCATAATTTTGTAAAATTGTACTTAGTCTTTTTTTGCACAATTTGGTTTAAGAGGTGCTTTTATTGATAATTATCAGTTATATTTACTGATTTTGTGTGCGTAAAGATGGGCTGGAAATTAAAAGTACTTTTTAGAAAATACTGTTCTCCATTTTCTTTTTTTAGATTCAAATCATTTCCGCATTTTTCCCCTCACAGACTCGCTCTTTCCAAACAAAAACGAGCGTTTTATTGGGCAAAATAAGATTATTAAATATCCAAACTCTTGGAGGAACTTTGTGGCTGTCAAGGATCGATGCAGTCTAGCGAGTTCCCCAGCGCTCAAACACCCCCAGACGGTACAACAGCGGGGACTATTAGCGCCTTACCAGATGAGGGCCGGTCCGAGTACCGAGTACAGTAAACCCAAGCGGGCCACAACATCGGCTGGCTGTCTTTCGACGTGGGCGGAGATCCTCCATTGCTGCCACTCACGAGCATAATAGCCGAGGGGCTCTCCGCGTATCTTCCAGACCCGTTGCTGGCCGCTTCGCCCTGTTTTGACGAGTTCTGCTTTGACGAGGGAGACGAGGATGTGGACGACGAGGAGGAAGGAGACGACGAGGTGCTGTCGCTGCTGCAGTTGGAGTCCAGACACAGGCTGCCGGTGTGCGGGGGCCTCGCTGCGAGCGGGTTGACGTTTTCCCTACCGAGCGTTTGGCTCCGGTCGCGGCAGCTCGGCTCCTTCCTGCAGCCAAAGTCCGGCCGGAGGATGTTGTCAATGAAAAAGTTCGTGGTCCTGTGGGCTTGCTGGGCCGCCTGGTGGGGTAAAATCATGGCGGGGGATGGAAGATTCGGCGATAGGGACATGCTCTCCTCCTCGGTCGAGTCCCGCCCGCTCTTAGGCTCCTTTTGCTCTTCCATAGCTGGTGATGGTGAGAACATTCGGCCTGTCCACGCCAAACTCCACTTGTTGCTTCTTCTCCCGCCCCCTTTGGTATCCACTTAGACGCGCAGCATGTAAAAACAAGCGTGTTTGCTCAAACCAAACGATAAAAAATTCCACTGTTATTTACAATACCACTTAGAAAAGTATCATGTTGTCTCCTAACAGCCTTCAGAGACTTGTCGGAACGAGCAGCGCGTTATTACCAGTGTCCCTGCCTCTCCCCGGCGCAGCACATTATGCGTATTTGCGCTTCCTAAACTCTCCCCAAACCGTTATCTCCCCCCGTGTGTGTTTTTTCTTTCTCTTACACCCAGCCGGAAGCACGTGTGCGCGTACACACGTGTGGCGGACCAATCGGTGGCGAATATAGTCGCTGTCACAATTGACGACGTCCAATTAGGGCTCGGGAGGAGCTGCGGCCAGGCACGCGCATACGGTGCCAGCGCGTATTTCGATCGATTTTTGGGGGGGGAGAGAGCGCACGTGCATACGCATGAAATCTGCACAGCAAAACAAAAACAAGGGAGTGAGGCCACAAAACCACACATATTTGACAGGGTTTGTCCTGATGGCAAAATCAAATGTGGAGTTTTATAAAGGCTCTCTGTGTTCCATCGAGCGCAAATTTGCGTAAATTCCCTTCCAAATAACCACATTTTTAAGCCAATTTGCTTAACTATTGTGTCTTTTTTAAATCTTTTATAAAACATGGTTAAAAATGAACAATTTGACATGTATATTTATTATTTATTTTCAACCTAGACACATTTTAACAATGAAAAACCCCAAATAGTTCGTGCGTAAAACCAACATGGCCCTTTCAAGAAATGGCAGCAACAGCAGCCTATAAAATCCTTATTTTTTCTCACAGATCTATTAGTTACAGTGCAAACTTTTAAAAAATTTTTGCCTATTATATTCAGGTTATATCTCATTAAACATCTTCATTTTAGACAACACAACTTTAAATAGACTTGACAATTGTTCCCCTTTTTGGTCCATGAGATGAGAACATTTTAGAAGCGCCTTCATAACACCTACAAATGATTTTATAAAATTGTTATTGTCATGTGGATAAAAAGGCTCCAATCGTCGATTTGTAATAATATTAATAATTAGACTATTTAAGCAATATCATGGTGGTGGGCACGTGTTAATGTTGAACACCGCCTTAGTAAAATCTTTATCCCACAGGCCAGAGGATGATGCCATTGCTACTTAATTAAATTCCAATTAGGACAGTAGGTCTATCAATATGCTGTTTAGCCGCAGCAGCATTGTGGGTAAATGGGCATTCAGAGTGCTCTTATCTGGCGCCGTAAAGAGAGGCTGCTTGAGAGGAGCTGCAAAAGATAATTTATAGCTTTTAATTAGTCTTCATTCTGCCCGATCAGCCCGGTGTTCATCACGGGGAGCGGACTGAATAAAACCCGAGTCAAAAGCGCTGTCACCGCTCCTTGGCAGGGCCCTTAATCAAAGTGAAGCAGGGGCCGCGCTACAAGCCTCGTAATTTCCAAGGTGCTGATAAAGCTTGTTGAATAATAGCGGGGGCCCTCGGAGACACCATTTACAGAAATGACTTTATTGACGGTTTAACGTTGGTAATTCATTTTACCCTTCATGTATTGGTAGGCGAATTGTCCGCTGTAATAGGATGATAAATGCACTGACGGATCGTAGCTTGGGGTTTTATTGAGTAGCTATAGCCTATATACTGAAGGGAGGTGTTTCAGCGATACACACACACACACACACACACACACGCACACACACACACACACACACACACACTGTACTACACTGACTATTATTTAAATATATGTAAAATGGCAGAAATGTAACTCTCACTTCAGATTTGCTGCTTTACACCATTTTCTGACTTTATAACATGTATTATTTTCTGTATGTTGCTGCCCTGCATGAATAACAATTGATTTTAGCACAATAAGCCTTTAAATAGATCTTAAAGACAGGCTCATCACCACAGTGCTAAAACATTAAATTGAATTTAATCTGGGGGGAAACAGCATCATTTTATCTTCTCAGTTTTGTTCAGGTCATCTCTGACACTATATGCGAAGTACTTATAAGGTATTTATGGCCACAAACAAACAGCCAATTAATTTCCTTATTTGTTAAAAATGTGAAGAGTTGTAGTTTTATATCGTTTATGATTAATTAATGAGCCAAAGTTAAAAAAACAAAAATAATTCCGGCTATATTGAGAGTAAATTCCCTTTCTTTTGAACATGCTTGGTCCTAAAGGTAGACTGTGTGTCTAAGTGCTGCAAACATACGCTCATGCTGCCACCTAGTGGAGAAAGACAGGAGTAGATGATCAGTGAAATACAGTGGATATAAAAAGTCTACGCACCCCTGTTCAGCTACAAGGTTTTCATGATGTAAGAAAATGACAGCAAGATAAATATATTCACAATTTTTCCACCTTTAATGTGACCTGTAACCTGTACAATGCAATTGAAAAACAAATTGAAACCTTCAAAGTGGAAAAATATAAAATAGAAAAGTTAAAATAACCTGGTTGCATAAATATGCACACCCTTAAACTAATACTTTGTTGCAGCCCCTTTGGCTTTTATTACAGCACTCAGTCTATTTGGGTAGGAGTCTGTCAGCGTGGCACATCTTTCTTTGCAAAACCGCTCCAAATCTGACAGATTGTGAGGGCATCTCCTATGCACAGCCCTCTTCAGATCACCACACAAATGTTCAATGTTATTTGACAGAATAATTTCATTTTGAGTCAGATTTTCTGTGTTAGTGTTAGTGTGTGCGGAGAAAGATGTGTTCTATTTTGAAATGAAGAGTTAGTATATATTTAACGTGTTTTTGAGAAGAAAATGATCCATTTGGCCAAGTGTGTTTTGTAGGTGTGAGTCTGTGTTATGAGTTTAGAAAAAGTATCTGAAGTATGGGTAAGGGCTTGTTAGAAATTGAAAAAACACTGTAAATAGCGTAATGGCAAACAGTCTAAGGAGGCTCTGAATGTAGGTTCTTTGTGTTTTCTAAAGGGAAATCATGGTCTATAGTCATTTAATGATGTTGCTGTTTGTTTTCTAATGGTGGAAATTGGTGTTTTTTATGTCTATTAATAAAGTATAGCTGCTTTGCGGATTGGCTGGTCTAACTTTGAAATAGTGTTTTGGAAAAATCAAACAAAACCTGCCAAATATAACCATGTTATCATCACAGGAGGCTGGAAATATAAGCCAAACACAGATGATTGGACCCCAAGTGTTGGTCTTTGCTGACCTCTAGTGGCTCTTAGTGACCATACATTCTTGACACAGCATGTAAGTTTATACACAGAGTTATAAATCAGTTCTCATTTGTGTTTTTTCCCCTCAGTTGTATACTTTCCATTGTTCTAGCAGCTGCTATTTTCTGTAGATTTCCATTCAAATGGGGGGCTATTGAAACTGTTAAATACTGTAAAAACACAGCAAAAACACCATATCTGATAAATCCAATCCAATCCAACCTGCTTTATTTATATGGCACATTTAAAAAACATTCAAGTTTGCCAAAGTGCAGCACAGTAAAATTCAAAAAGAACAGACACTACAGAAAACATCACGAGGAAATAAATAAAAGCAGGAAAAAAAAACATTTAAACATTTCAAATGAAATATAATAAATGAAATCAAACACAAAAGCCTAAAAGAAATAAAAACAATAGAAGAACCATAAAAAGACATAAAAGGACAGCGATCACACGACTCTCATGCTGAGCTAAAAGCCGAGGAATAACAATGAGTTTCAAGATGTGATTTTAAAGTATGAAGTGTTTTGATCTCAAGTGGAAATTCATTCCACGATTTGGGATCCACAGCTGAGACAGCTCGGTCACCACGTGTTTTCAAATATTTCAAAGGAATGTAATGTTAATTGAAAAACTACAATACTTTGTTTTCCTTGTCATTATCTGGTCATTATCTGAGATTCATTAATTCCTCTTTTGAAACAGTTCTTGCAACTCTCCGCTTTGACCACCTGAGGTCAGTGTCACACAGCTGACCAAAGACCAACGCAGCCTGATTAATTGATGGTCAAAAAAGATGCATCAGATGCATCATTTGAAGATCTGAAAATAATTTTAAGTCTTTCCTCAATATATTTTATGGATGGCGGCTGGATAGCAATATATATATACAGCCGTGATGCCCAGGTCCATCAATGCAAATGCACTAAGACTAGGTATGACTCTATAATGGAAATCACTGCATGGGCTCAAAATTAAACCCAAAAGCACATTAATCCAGCTTTCATGTAATTGTGGTTGTAAAGTGTCTGTCTTTCTCTCTCTGTGTCAGTCTCCCTCTCTCTCTCTCTCTCTCTCTCTCTATTCAGGTGCTGTGCAGTAATAATACATGAAGAGCTTCTCATCCATTAATTAGTATGAAGGGCTTAGGTGGCAGTGGGCTGATCTTTAGCCTTCACACACACGTTCACCTATCATTTAAAAATTAAAGGAATGAGTCTGTTAATGCAGATGAATAATTTAGCACACTGGGACCACTGAAGGTCTTAATGAGGAGAAGGTGACAGAATCAAAGATTCTCGCCCGTCTAAGCCGAGTTGAGGGATTTTTAAAAGCTTGAGATGGGCCTCATCCAAATTTACCTAGCCCAGATGAGTTTCAACAGATTAAAAATGATGAATAAATATATAAAGCAAATGAGCATCATAGGCCAAACATCATGTAAGCATTTTTGTTTTGAGCATATAATGTGCTTTAACTTCGCATATTTATGCCTCCTTTTATTTTTAACTCTTATACTTCTAGCTTACCACCGATAAAAGATACAGCTTAACCTTCCTCCTGTTTTAGCTTTTACTACGCACCCACTATGTTAAGGGTCGGTTTTGACCCGTGTCTTAAATCAGCTGTAAATGAAACTAAAAACAGTTCTCTATCATCCAAGTTGGTTCTCATCTCTAAGTTACCTTGTTAGGCTTCATTATCCATAAAAATATTGATTATAATAGTTTTTGTTTGTTCTTTGTCAGTATACCCCTCATACAGACATCTATCCTGAATTGATCTTACATGTCTGGACATGCCCAACATTGTTTTTTGTGCAGGGAAAAACAGGTAAAATAAGAATTTCCTAAATTTCACATGATTGGAAGAGGATCTGACTGTCAGTGTGGTGCCTGGCAGTGCACATATGATTTCAGTTTTTGCTCTAATTATTAGATATTGTTCTAACTGGTGACCCTAACACGACAAGTGCCATAATTTTAATAAGAGCATTTTATAATTTAGTCAATTTAATTTATTTCATTGTTGTTGTTGAAATAGAGATTCCTGACAAAGCATACCCTAACACAGGAGGAGGGTTAATAATACTTAATAATAATAATAATAATAATAATAAAATAAAATTGTAAGAGAGAAGAAGCAGTCAGTGTATTTAATAACTTAGGTGCTAACATGCTGGTATTTTTAGCAGGTAGTGTTAACAGCAGTCGCTAATGCTAGGCAGGCTGAGGTTGGCTAATTAGTAAAACTAATGCTAACAAATCATTTTCTATCAGTTGAGTTTAGTTTTATGAGGATTGATGATCAATTTTAACTTAAAAAAATGGTTTAATGGTATTAAAAGCATCTAAGAAGTAACAGGCAGCCTGTTACTGTGCTGAAGCACAGTAGTAAATAACTGTATCATCCGCATACAAATGAAAATAAATGACAGAGTTCCTAAAACTGAGCCCTGAGGCACACCATTTATTAATTCATGCAGTCTAGAAGTGACTACACACACAGGAATCTACTGGATGAATAATTTTTAAACCAGAAGACCGATTTTTCTGACAGTACGATACTAAATAGTTGGACAAGTCATTACAACGTGCTGAACAGTGTCAGTTATTTTTTATTGTAATCAGCACTGGGAAAATGTGGAAACAGCTCGTTTGACTTCAGCATATTATTAATATTTAGTGGGTAAATGTAACAACAACACCAGGCTGAAGCTATTTAACTATCAGAGCATGACAAATGCTGTGTAATACACCCTGAAATGAGTAGAAATCTTAAAAAGCTGCTTATTTTTTCCTCATTTCTTTTGGTTCACTTTGCGTATATGAGGAAATAAAGATGAGACATTTGTCTTCCTACTTCCTTTTAGTCCCTTTTCTCCTGTCTACCTCCCCATTCCCTCATTTGGCCGATTAAACCCCAAGAGATATGTAATTTAAGAAGTGCAGACTGACAGATGAGTCAGCATTCGACTGAATCATTATTCACTGCTTTAAGAAAATCCCAAATATACAGTCACATTTGATATATCAGCAGTTTTTTATGATTGTATAACATGTGAAGTTTTGTATTAGTCCTTAAAAAAAAACTATTTACAAAAGCTGCACCATCTCTGTCAGAACGTTTTAAGGACAACTATTAATATCTTTCCCTGCGAGCAGCTCCATGAAGACAACAATCCCATCTGAGGAGAAGAAAATATGTTTGTCGAGCAGAGTGATAAGCCCATACTGAAATAGCTGTTTATCCAACCAGATGTATCAATATTTGTTTTGAACGATTTCCATTTAAATTGAAAGCAGTTGAGTGTTAACAGCTGGATTTTGTGTGTCTCTGATGACAGGGAATAAAAAAAGAATCAAACACTTTTAAAAGCCAGGATCTTAATTGAGTTTTGCAGCACGGTAAACATTTGCAAGTCACAATACAAATTAATCAAAAGTGAAACACAGGAGCGAACAGTGACTGGCTTTAAAACTGGCTTTAAAACAAGTGGAATAAAACAGGTTTTGTCTTTGATCAAGTTCATGATTTAATTCATGAAATATCCAAAACAAATGAAAACAATGCCGTCTTACAATTTCTCAGGGGTCTAGACAAACCAAAGATGTCTCATTTTATTTCAAATGTTGTGCCCGAACAAGTAGTATGTCCACAACTTCCTAATACAGCAAAGAAAAAAAGGGAATTCGATGCTGGATAATTGTCTGGGGATTAAATAGTTTCATAGTCTTGTCACACAAAAAGAATTTTTACATTTGCACCAAACACAAGTTGAAAATACAATACAGCTTTTTGACCCGAAACATCGTAAAGAGTTCTGCACAGTTCACAGCATTACGGTTCCCAAACTAAACTGGCTGATAAGTTGCTGATAAACTGTTCACTGAAAGACTTAAACATACTGGACTCTCTAGGTCAATAAAAACATCACAGAGAGTTTCTGTCCATGGATCTGCGCTGGCGTGTTCAGTCTGGGTATAAGATGAAACCAGAGAAGGTGCTGTACTTGTTGTTGTTGCCTCCATGAGCTTTCCCCCCGTCCAGTTTGACAAAGATCTCATCTCCAGAGTCCAAGTGGAGCACAGCACTGTTGCTGGCATAGTCGTAGTTCTGGTCGGCATCCTGAGCTATGGCGCTGGCTCGAACCTGGGGATAAAAGAAGACAAGACTCGCTGCAATGAGCAAACTGTAGAAAAAGAACTTAACATGCAAAGTTGCCATTGGAAACTCACAGTCATGCAGTGTTAGTTTATCCTGTGGGGTACCTCAGGGGTCACTTCTGGGACCACTTCCGTTTTCAGTTAATGTGTTGCCTCTGGGTCATGTGATCCACAGAGAAGGAATTGATTTTCATTTTCATCATTTGCTGATGACATCCAGCTGTAACTTCCTGTTAGCCAGAAGAACCTGGCTCAAATCTCATCACCCCTATTTTAGCTCCCAGTTCTTTTTAGAGTTGATTTTAAGATCTCAATGATTGCTTTAAAGCACTATCCGGACTTGCCAATTACAAGTATCCAAGTACATGACTAAACTCCTTACGCTTTACAAACCTGGTTGTACCTGGTGGTGCTCAGCCAAAGGTCTGCTGATCACTTTGCAATCCAGAACCAAGGCTTTTCAAAGGGATATTCCGGCATAAAATTAATTTAGGGTTAAACACACCGTAACACCGAGTTAGACACCCCCTCGAGAGATGAATGTTGCCGACCGCTTACTTCTCTTATATGTTATACCAACTTTTGTAACGACCGCAGGATAGCGATACACAGCGGTCTAAGGAGCCATAAACAAACCTCAACCAAAACGCCACTCTATAGCTACAAATAATGCTCAGAACAGCACCTAACTTCATCAAAAGTATATACAGTATATAGGGTCCTAGCCATAGTACTAGCCACCAAACATCTTTTTAGCTTTGCCTGATTTCTTTAGCGAAGAGACTGAACACAACTCACCTACTCTCTTCCAGCAGCCACTTGTTTGTAGCAAGACCTCAGGCCAGTCCATTGCGGACTGCTGTGGGGTGATGCAGCTCAAGGAAGAACATTTATGATCATTACTTTATCATTTCCTTGAAGTAATAATCATCATATTAATCATTTTGCACTGCAGACACGGTGGTTCTTCTGCCTTAGCTTCTGATTGCATTTCCATGAAGAAATGACCATAAATGTTCTTCCTTAAGTTGCATCACCCCGTTGTAGTCCGTAATTGACTGGCCCAAGGTCTCGCTACAAACAAGAGGCTGCTGGAGGAGAGTAGCTGAGCATTATTTGTGGCTATAGAGTGGCGCTTTGGCCAAGGTTTGTTTGTGGCTCCTGGGACTGCTGTGTATTGCTATCGTGCGGTTGTAACTAAAGTTGGTAAAACTAGAGAAGCAAGCGGTTGGCAACATTCATCTCTCAAGGGGGTGTCTCCTCGATGTTATGGTGTGTTTGACCCTAATTCAAATTTACGCCGGAATATCCCTTGAAATCAAGGCCCCCTACTCTCTGGATCAGACTACCTCATTATCCATTTTTAAAAACTTGTTTTAAAACTCATTTCTATAAGTGGGCTTCTACTGGAGATTAGTTTTAATTTAAGTTTTATCTTGACAGCCAAATGTATCATAAATCGTGAGTATTTTATTTGGATATTGAGAAAAATTTGGCTGTTTCTTAAGCTGATTGGCTGACATCTACCCCCTCACACCATATTCAGACATTAAAAGTCATGATGCAGAAATAGTCAATCTTGTCACAAATGATCTTGTTTGCTTTTGCAGATAATGAGCAAACTTCAGTATGAATTTCAGTCCAATTGGTTGATGTCAAAAACCTTATACAGGAGCTTTAAAATTGTTTATACCTGTCCGTTCTTGCACAGGTCGGCCCACATGCTGGTCCCATCCCCTCCCCGCATTAACACGTGGTAGGTGAAGAAGTAGATCCCTGACACATGACAGGTGAACTTTCCGGTGCTGGCGTCGTAGTGGTTCCCCAAGTTTGTGATCACGTCGTCAAACTTCAACACCTCATACCCTTCATGTGGACTCTTCAGTCCAACGTAAAAGGCGATCCTAAAACTGTTCGCCGTTGTGTTCACGTCGTCTGTCTCGCTCTTATCAGTTCCAGTAACCGCAGGGAAGGTGAGTTTAGCATCACCGCGCCCTCCTGGTGCCCCCCTCGCACCCGGAGGTCCCGGTTCTCCCCGCGGACCTCTTGGTCCCGGTTTACCCGGCCGCCCCGGCTCCCCGCGGCTCCCTTGCGCCATCGGGGGCTGCGGTTCGACATCGTTCATGTTGTGGATCACCTCCATAGCGGTGGCACCTCCCGGTTTGGGGGTGTACGGGTCACAAACCATGCGACAGGATCCCATCATCTCGTAGTAATGAGCGGAGGTTTCAGAGACCTGTAGGAGGATCACTGGGAGAGCCAGTGCCAGAGTCAACGAAGTCATCTTCTGCGCGTTTGGAGTCAGTTGCGCCTTAAAGCAGAGAAACTGTAATTGAGGACAGACCCTTACAAGACCCCAGAAGAAGCAGTGCAATTAATTAAGTCTGCATCCAGCGTCAGATTGATCTGATTGGTGGTTTGAGCCCCCGCGGAGCGTCTGTGACCGGGAGGAAACCGCTCATCTGGATGGATGGATGCGCAGACAGCTGCGTCCAGCTCCAGCTATGATAAAACAGCAGAGATATGACCGGAAACGTGGTGTCTGACTTTCAAATTAAAAGCAAAAGTTCCAAATAAACTTGGTTTGGTAAACGCAAGAACAGCTGATATGCTTTTATACTCGTGAGTGGACATTTTTATGACATTCCGCTGCCGGATTTATACATTTGGAGACTTACAGGACGGATTAAGAGTTTGTCACATAGTTTTATTTCTTATGTCTATATGGAAAAGGTTTGATACGATTGGCAAAGAAACTAAACAAAATTCACCTGCTCTCTTCCAGCAGCAGCTTGTTTGTAGTGAGACCTCAGGCCAGTCCATTACGTACTGCTGCGGGGTGACGCAGCTCAAGGAAGAACATTTCTGACCATTTCTTCATGGACATGCAATCAGACCGAGACGCTAAGGCAGAAGAACTACCGCATGTGCAGTGCAAAATGATTAACATGGTGATTATTACTTCAAAGAAATTATCATAAATGTTCTTCCTTGGGCTGCGTCACCCCGCAGCAGTCCGTAATGGACTGTCCTGAGGTCTCTACAGACGAGTGGCTGCTTTATTTTTTATGTCTATGCGGAAAAGGTTTGATGCGATTGGCTGACTTGAGAGAGGCAAAGAGATCCCTGCGTAAAGTTACGTTTTTATCAAGCAGCTGTGTTGGTATTTAGGCACGATGCCCCCGCTCAATGTCAGAACCAATAGCTGAAAGCGGGTTCTTGTTAACTGGCCAACAGCATGGTCATGTTCATACAGAGGGGAAATGAAAGCTGATAATGTATTCAGGGAATAGACAAGAGTTATCTGACAGCTGCTGGCACCTTCAGCTCTAAGCTCCCTGGCTGCAAGGACATATTTGACGTCTTGCTCAGAAAGTAGAGAGCCACAGACCTTGAATTTTGATGCTTCAGCGAATCTTAATTCTGGGCATGTACATTCAATCATTACTCTATTGCATACAGAGCTCTTTTTTCATCCTTGTTTTTCCGCTGAGGCCCAAGTGCACCATTTTTTTATTTTTTATCCAAAAAGAGTGTTAGCAATTAAAATGCTCAAGAACGAGAGAGACTTGGCTTGCTTAAAAATAGAAGTGTCTGTTTGTTTGAAAACTTCAGATGAACCTTAAATACGTCTGGAACCAACAACTGGAATCAGAACTCAGGTCCCCCATCCACAACAGAGGCTTTGGGGCTCAAGGTGGTGTCAGGAAATCTTCAGAAGCTTGAAATGAGGCTTAACTTAAGCCCTATGGTCAAACTGCAGAAGATGCCTCTCCGTACACACTCTGTCGTACACAAACTCACAAATACACACACACATGCCTAACAACTACAAGCAATTTCAAGTTCAGCTCAGCTTCTAAACGCATGAATTAAAGGTTAAATTTAGAGGATATGAGAAGAAGAAATTATATTTTTTCAAAGTTTGGCACATTTAGTTAATGGCGATGCAATTGACAGTAATCTAGAAATAACAGTAGAAATGCATTATGCTCTCTGGCTCTACATGACTGCAGAAATGACCTTTAGTTCAGAGCGGTACATTGAACTGTGTCTTCAGGCTGTGATGAGCCATGCACGACACATTGTCCACATTGTGCTGCTGCGGTTGCTGAGATTATTCTGCCCTGAGGTCCTGCCATACTTCTAAAAATGCTGCATATTCACATGCAGCCTGCTGTCATGCGCATGACCCACACAGCTGGAAAAATAACAATAAGAGCGACTTAACAACAACACACAAAAACTCCTCAATACTCACAGACATGCAAAATACCCCTAAAGATTCAGTGTTTCATGTATCCTCATATATATCAAAGTTAATGCATTAATCGCATGTTTGTGCATTTTTTTATTTACAGTTCATGCATTCACGTTTTGTAATCTTTGTGTCTCTGAAATGACCTTAGAGCTGCTGCAACAAAGTCTATAAAATGTCATATGACTGCATTTCAAACTATATAAATGTATATACAGCATTGGTTTATCATTATGACAGGAACACCGTCAGTTTTACAGCTGTAATCCGATTAGCTGGTGTGTTTTATGGAAGTGAAGTAAAACAAAGTCTTTTCCGGATCAGAGTTAACAGTTCACACATTAGTAGCTGATCCCGAAATCTCAAAATCAGATATGTAGATCAAAACCTGTGGCTTAAGATGGCTGTAAACCATGACAAGGCAGTATGAGGGTGTGTTAGAGGGGGATATGAGTGCAGAGAGTGTGTGTGTCTGTGTGTGTGCGTGTGTCAGAGTCTGTTTGTGGTGGAGCTGATGCAGTGCTGTGAGCAAGGGCGATTCAACCTTTAGGAAGTGGCAGTTTTACAGACAGTGACCTTACTTCTAGTCATTTTTCTGTTTGTTCTCATGAGATTATTTATCAAATTTAAATGTAATTAAATTTCTTTAAGCCCAATTCAATGAGGGATGGTTTACAGAAGGGGCTTCAAATATTCTGTTAGTATCTCTGTCACTGTGCAGGTTTTAGAGGCGGTTTGAGGAGCTCACTGCTGCCCTGCATTATCTTGCCCACACATGTGGGGGCGTGACCGGGGCGTGGCTTTTGGCGAAGTGCGTCATCTTATCAGGAAGGAGACGCACCAGCTCCCAAAAGCAAGGGGGGAATGTGTGAGTACGTGACCGAAACGAAGCTAACGTACCGCTGAGAGGTCTAACAAAAGCTGAATAATGTAATGTAAGTCACTTTTTCTTTACCCGAATAAGAGTTTTAGTCCTCTGTTTTGCGTTTTAAGTGTAGAAGCTTAGTTTGAAGGAAAAGTTTCCACGAGTTCAGCCAAGGACAAGCAGCAAGGTGGCTTCTAACCGCTGTACAGGTAGTGCGTTTAGATTTCTTTAATTTTATTGTAAAATCGAAAATGGTCAGCTTTAGAAGCAGATACTAAAACCAATGAAGCAGTTAATGATTCCTCACAGTTTCTAAATAAATTCGGCTTATATGTGAGTGATATTAAAGTCAACTCTTTGAGTGAAATCTACATTATAAACTTAAGCTGTACCCACGTTGCGAGAAGAGAGTCCTCAAAGTTTGTTCTAGTTTATATTATGGTAATGTGCTTTTCAATGCCAGTCTCAAAGAGTTATTAAATTACACTTTTAGTATGTTGTCTCTGTCTTATGCTGAAGGGTAAATTAATGTTTGTGTTAAAGGTTTAGAACAGGTATGAATAAGTGGAGTAGATGTGGGATTCCCCTAATCAGTATTTACTTTTATTCCAGGACCCATGCTGGATGAAAAGCAAGGCTCCTGAGGTTTTTACCTGACAATTTCTGTTTGTAAGTAAGCTTTCTTTTCTCCTAATACAAAACCCAATTCCATTGAAGTTGGAAAGTTGTGATAAACGTAAATAAAAACAGAATACAATGATTTGCAAATCCTTTTCAACCTATATTCAACTGAATACACGACAAAGACAAGATATTTAATGTTTAAACTCATACACTTAATTTTTTTTGCAAATAATAATTAACTCAGAATTTCATGGCTGCAACGCGTGCCAAAGTAGTTGGGACAGGGTCATGTTTACCACTGTGTTACATCACCTTTCCTTTTAACAACACTCAATAAACGTTTGTGAACTGAGGAGACTAATTGTTGAAACTTTGAAGGTGGAATTCTTTCCCATTCTTGCTGGATGTACAGCTTCAGTTGTTCAACAGTCCAGGGTCTCCGTTGTCGTATTTTGTGCTTCATGATGAAATTGTGAGTTAATTATTATTTGCAAAAAAAATAATAAAGTTTATGAGTTTGAACATTAAATATCTTGTCTTTGTAGTGTATTCAATTGAATTTAGGTTGAAAAGGATTTGCAAATCATTGTATTCTGTTTTTATTTACGTTTATCACCAACTTCAATGGAATTGGGTTTTGTACAAACCTGTAATATTATAACACATGGCAAAGTACAAACACGCCTTTTCTCCCCAGTTTTTTAGGGCAGTATGCCTGATGAGATGGCGAGTCCTTTAATCAGAGGCAGAGGAGGATCCAGATATTTTGAAGCCACCATGTCTGAGCTCGATGCCCCTGTCATTGGCATCCTGGGGACGGGGGATTTCTCTCGCTCACTGGCAAGAAGGTTGGTGGCCTCGGGATACCAGGTGATGGTGGGGAGTCGAACCCCTAAACGCTCTGTGGCGCTGTTCCCTGAAGAAGCTGAGGTGATCCACGTTCACAGACACTTGACAGTATAAGAGCAAAGATAGATTCAAGTAGCGCCTCTAAAGTTTTTGACTGAAGAATAAAACTCACAAAAATAAGAATAAGTAATGTTTATTGTTGTATTTTAAACCCTACTGGTGTATAATAGTGTCTGTGTGTTTTATTTATTCAATTATTTAGGTGACGTCCCAGATGGAAGCAGCCAGTCAGGCAGATCTGCTCTTTGTCGCTGTGTTCCCTGAGCACTATTCCACACTGGTGCAGCTGAAGCCAACACTGGCCGGGAAGACGCTCGTGGACGTTAGCAATGCTTTGCAAATCAACAAAGACGGGCCGTCAAATGCCCAACAGCTGGCCGACCTGTTCCCAGAGAGTGTTGTAGTCAAAGGGTTTAACACCATATCAGCCTGGGCGCTCCAGATGGGACCCAGGGATGGAAGCAAGCAGGTGGAGTTCATCAGCTACCCCTTAGTCTTTAATGTCAAAGAAATCTGGTGGTACTTGGACTGAATCTTTAAACTTTGTTTAATCTTCTGGTTGTTTTTTAAAGGTGTTCCTCTGCAGTAACAGTAGCCAGGCTAAGAACGCAGTGGCACAGCTCTGTCAAAGAATGGGCTTCATCCCTGTGGATATGGGTCGCCTCTCCTCCTCTCTGGAGATCGAAAACCATCCCCTCTATTTATTTCCCTCCTGGCGCATTCCAGTCCTCTGCACCCTGATCCTGTTTACAGTTTTTTACCTATACAACTTCATCCATGACATCCTGCAGCCCTACATAAGAGCCGGGAAGAACAATTTCTACAAAATGCCAATAGAGACTGTTAATGTCACTCTTCCCTCTGTGGCCTTGGTGATGCTGGCGCTGGTCTATCTACCCGGTTTGCTCGCCGCTTTCCTCCAGATGTGGTGGGGCACCAAGTACAGACGCTTCCCCAACTGGCTGGACAGATGGCTGACCAGGAGGAAGCAGTTTGGACTGTGCAGCTTTCTATGTGCGGCTCTGCACGCTATCTACAGTCTCAGCCTCCCCATGAGGAAGTCTGCACGCTACAAACTGCTCAA